AAGAAGCTTACCAAATCCATGCAGAGCCCATAGCCGTTGTGATTGTGACAGTTAGTATCGAAGCAATGGCAACACTAAGTATCTATTGCTTTACCCAATGCATTGAGCTTAGTGTCTTAGTAAAGAAGTAGGGGACACTATCATTCAATTGGCAATAACCAACTTCTCAAGCTGGTAGAGACTAATGATCACTTTCAAGGGCGAGCAGCGCGTTCGAAAGAGGTGTCCAAGAAGGAAACAAAGGTTCTTCCACCAAGGCAAGCCTGGATGTGACAAAGACAATAGAACTGAGCAGCATGTCGTGCAGAAACAACTCTACCAAAGCTTAGCGGTATCATCAGAGAAAGAAATCGGCCAAATAGACCATCAGATATAAGCCGACCTCAGGAAGAAACTGTGATACAGTTCTATGAAAATTTGGCAATGATAATTGAGAGAAACTCTACCAGTTTCATGATCATATGAGCTTCGTTGGTGCCTGCCGCCGAAAAACTACTCTAACGGCAGTACGGACTGAGAAATTGCCTTTCAGCTTCACGTGATGTGATGACGATTGAGACCATGCCAAGTTTCCTATGCCCTTTCATTTCCTGTAATAATTCATCACGGATGAACTCAATTTTCCATCCGTTATGATCACGAGTCATAGCTTGCTGTTTAGACGGTAGACGGCATTATGGATAAAGCGAACATCCGCGCCAATCATTCCCCATGACTTTCTCCTGTCAAAGTCGTTCATCAGCACAATTTTATTCGATGGGCAAAAGGAACGAATATCAAAGATTTACCTACCTCAATTTTATATTGCAGTACATGAAATTGCATGAATTATGCAGATGCGGCGAATATCATTTCTACCATTAGCATTCATCTGATCTGCAATATCTGTGACTGAAGTGAATGAATAACTTAAGTAGGAGCTGCGAAAAGTTTACACAGTTGAAAGAATTCCGAATCTGACGAGTGCAATGAGCATCATTTTGTTAAAACGATGTTACTTGCAGCTGAATAGTCATGAAAGAATCAGATATTCTTATGCATTACCGCAAAGCGATATGCGGAAATTCTCTAGAATAGCAGCATCATCTAAAATTGTGCCGCATGGAATTCTCTTTGAGGCAGAAATGTACGCACTGCCTGCTCATAGTACAAACGCTGCATATATTTGTGTGTTACACATCGACTCTGGTGTTCTGTTGCATATTATTACGTAATTAATTCCTATCTTCTATGCTGGAACGCACAGAGAATATTATTATATCTGACAAGATTCTGTTTATGGTTATGTCGGCATCAATAAAACTGAGGGATATGGGCCAAGTAAATAAAAAGAGAACATGCCACATGCATATTAATTTGCAACCATTCGGTTAACACATTTACTACTTGTATGGCAGTAGCCACCTGTACATATGAAGTTTGTGAATAAGTAGCTTGTGCATCAGGAGCGCAAAATAACCGCAAGTTACCCCCAGCCAGAAAAAAACTTTGCCATCGGAAAATCCAAACATATCATCCATGGACTGTAAAAAATAACGAGTAATGTTAACATTTTGTTGTTATAGTGTTGACTCGTTCATAAACGCTACTTCAGTGCGTAATGTATATCATACTTAGAAATACTCTAATAAATGTCATCATAGCAACAACTATATAACTGCACTATATAACTTATTAACGATGACTTGATGAAAACGACTAACAGAGAAAAGCCCTTCACTAGAATAAAAACTATGAATACATTTTGCACCTCGTTAAATGTGAATTTGATGAATAGACTTTTGAGTTTATGGCAACATGATTTTAATATTTAAAATGAATGTTAAAGTTACACGCACTACTTCAGGCATAGCAAAAACTTCTGTGATGGATTTATTGAATTTTTGACGGTTCAAACCATTTAATGCTCGACTACATCTCTATATCAAAAAGGTTTGTTTCGAAAGTACACAGGCTCGTGTAGATAACCTACCTCTAGTAACGAAAGATCGCCTATTTTAGAGTATTCTTCATTCAGGGTGCCATGTAGTCTCCAAGATTGAAGGTATTCATTCTGGCCGTGTGCCGTAGTAATGAATTTCGACAGTTGAGGCCATTTACTCCTAGTCGTTGAGTAACCATAAACGGCGTTCAAACGCATGTCTGATTGTTATCAACTCGGTTATTCTCTACGTCAAAGGGTTGCCACGTTTGAAGATTAAAGATTCTGTCAGACATCCACTATAATACGTTGGGAGGATAATTAGCATTTACTTTAACCATGTTTTGGATACAGGTGACTTTAACAGACCTGATCTTCTCTATGAAAAAAAAGGAATGAAATAAAATGAAGATATCTAATAAAACAAAAATTCATTTAGGGAGCTTGGTAGTGAAATGCACTAAGTAACCTACGAAAGCGGAGTAAAACAGAAAACGCATGCTATTAAATCCATGAAACCATAAGTGATACGAAATTCATTTCAGCAACACGCATCCTCCCCTTCAGTTGAAATTACCTCTGGCACATTTCGGCTATCCCTAAATCAATCTCCTAACGGAAAATTTTCCACAAAGTGGTGGGAGCTACTGGACTCTCAGGTGTTGCTTCGAGCTGAAATACTTCATGATTTTAAGCTTAATAGCAGAGTCTCCTTATGTCATACGGTTTGTCATTAAGCACGCCGGTTAAAGTAGATTTCTTAATAGTTTCGATCGCAATAGAGTTATCGTATTTAGAAGGTTTTTTGGCTTGAAACGTTCAAGCAGGTGCGAAGGACAGAAAGAACTTCCAAAACCAACATACTTTTCTACCTTGTAGCTGGTCGGTGACCAACTGGCAAATGATCTGATTAATTATATTACTTGCGTTGTGCGCAAATGAACCGTATTTTATGCTGGTTTGACTACCGATGCATGCACGAAGCATTCAACCCTCAGCTATGTACGCAAAATGCAACAGCAATCGTGTACAGAATGAAGCCAGTGTTAGAACATGCTGACTTACCAACGACGAAAACACTGTCGTATGCGAACGTGTACGATCAAGTAGGTAGCTAAAAAATACACTCAGATATAAAGGTATGATCGAAGAGTGGACTTGTAGAAGGGCACCGGTTCACTCGAGCCGCAAATTTTTGATATCCTGCTTGGCAGTTTCAATAATCGGTTTTAACCTATAATTAAACTTCAAAGAAGGACGAAATATCTAGTAATCGCTACTGTAGAAGACAGAGCTCAGTTGGCAGCTTGTAAAACTACTTCAGTCGAAATTCCAGGTAAATTCGTCGATTATGATTAGAGTAAACGAATAAATATCACTGTAGAAGAAAGAAATACACGACATAGTGATCGCCTAGCTGCAGACCTTACTTTGAAATATGGCATAACCATCGATGGTAAGCTCTACGAAAACATGTTACAATTCATGAAAGTGTATTGTAGACCAACCTCATAGTGGCTACAATCGTTTCTTTGTTCCTCATACTGCGCTTCGTTTTCAATTCAAGTTATCATCTGACTGTCATAAAATAAAAGGGGGAGGGGCGGTAACCAGTTTGTGCTTGAGTTGACATATAAGTCTTGGATGTTTAACATGCCACTCGTATTTATTTCTGATTTCTACCTATTCGCCACGGATCTCTGTTGAAAAGAACGATTCGCTGATTACACTGTTCTAACAGTAAACTTTAAACTCACAATACAATTTGCCAGCATCAGAACGACGGTCTCCAAACCACTGTCTTGAGAGGCACTATTTGTTTCAACCTGTCATGGAGTTTAAGGCGCAGAGGGTTCTTCACCCTAATATCACCAGTCCATACGTCAACACTACTATCACGAACACATTGTCCATAACTCCCAGACAAGCACAATACATTCTCGTGCTTCTTTCTCATTAAGTGCATCGACATAGATGAGATGAAAAGTAGGTGACCCGGCTGATTCGTCAACTAAAAGTTCGGCGCTACACCAACTGATCTATCAGACCAGAGCCGAACCCCAAAATCCGAGACTTTCTTCATGGGCTTTCCACTATATTTTGTCAAACACAAGTAAAAATAATATAAAGGAAGAAAATGTTGCACATCTTCATGTTGATTCATAACTTAAATCTTTATACGGAACCTAAAAACTTAATTACAAAACGGTGTCACTTGTTCGCCTGCTCAAAGAGCAGGCAAAACGATGCACATATTCGTATTTCAATATTTTCAAATTCGTACGGGAAAGTCATCACTGGAAGGCAAAGTACTCTGTTGCAGTACTTTGTAGTCAGTAATATCTGATTTTAGGTAATGCTACATTTTGCAAGTTCGGCTTACACTTTGAAGAGAATTCAAAACGCTGCCCTGCTTGCATCGTTTCTTAAGACATGGAGTGGGACATTCCCACATTCTTTGCACTTATTGGCCAAGCGGGTTTGCGAGCTTTCGCCATATTTGTTCAACTAGCGTGTTTAATGTACCAAATCACCAACCTCAACTTTGGAGCAAACATTTAAGTGGAAAACATGTTGTCTAACTTGCATGAATAACAAAATTGATCTATAAGAAACGATTAAACTTATACGACATATATCCGTCGATGTCGGTCCTCATCGCCGCTGGTCATCACCATTTCTCATAAACCTTCGTTATCTTCACACAACTGACCATCTACGGAGCCATCTGTGTACTGCACTGCTACTTCCACACTTTAAGATGGCTTTACAATCGCACTGTTCAATACCAACAGCTTTTAAATAATTCATAAACATCAAATACTTCTCATTCGGTATCGTGCCGTAAGTTCCTTCGTTCAGTTGACAACAATCAATCATCAGTCAGTACAATTATCACATTATATCCAAAACTTGAATTCATTTTTGGTGCCAAGACAACAAGCAATGCCAGTGAAATTGCTTCGAGCGAAAAGCGATGCAGGTTTGGTCCAACTCTGACACGAGAAATAAGCAAATGCCAAGTTTTACCGTTACAACTCAGTTCCTTCATTGAGAACATTCACTTCATTTCGCATAACTTAGTAATTAGAACATCCTCAAAGCAAACTTCCTTCATGTAAAAAACCTTCTGCTGATTCACATCGACAACGCGTGCATTGAATTTCAAAGGACCCTTGAAAACAGAAAGATTATTATTAAACCAAACGTACCGTTGAATATGTTACCTTTATCTTCTGCAGGTATTTGACTAGTGTGCGAACTAACGTTGAGCCGCCTGAGTGATCCGGTTCCAGGATAACACAGTTCGCCTCGACACACTAAGGACAGTTTAAATGTCATAAATTTTTTATCCTAGACAACATACTTCAGGAAGGTCTAAAAGGGCAATACGATCGTAGCAACCGGTATTTGCCGAATCACCTCCTAAACCATTTTTTACCGCTGTATAGATAATGACGATATTCGTGAAATATCCGAAGAAGTCGAACCAGACTGTCAGCGTCAAACCGTACTCGTTCAGCGGTATATTCAATGGATCAGGAAGTTCTACAAACAATGTAACACAGGTCTGAACGTCCAGGATTGAAGATTATTCATAGCGAATGTACATCTAGAGTAGTTTAAGGCATTCAAGAGTCAGGTAATTAGCAACCTCGATTATAAAGAAATTATTTATCTGGACTGTCATACTTCGGAAAAAGGACCGAAGAGCTTGATTGTTTTGCGGCTCCCCTGGACTATTAAAAAGGTCTCCCGAAGCAGTTTCCAATGTGACTCAAAAAGGAATAGTGGGCTTTGGAAATGAATCAGTTAACGAATGAAATAATGAACGAATGAATAAACGAATGACTGCGCGTGGATGAATGAGTGATGAAAATTATAACTGGTACGTCTATAACATTCAACTTGAACGGTTGGTAAAGAAAATATTTAAGACATAACAATCATCAACAATTCAATTCAAGTGCAATTCATTCTTCAGAGTTTGATTTGCTACCGAGATTAATTCCCTTAGGATGTCTACAGTTTCTGCATTATTTCCTCTGCTCGTCAATAATTGGGACGAGTACTTCTAATTAAGTCATGGAATTCTTTGTTTTACTGCTGCTAGTATTCAGTCAGTGAAGTAAAATATATTCAGCATAGAAAATAGATATTAATATTAATCGTCACGATAATCCTGAAGGATCAGTCCAAACATATCTCTCCTGTACAAATTGGCCACCGTTTTGGATGACGGACCTTCGATTTTCGGAGAAAAAACCTGCAAAAGCACTTTTAGAAAATGTCTTTGAACAAACGCTGATAGTTTCAGAAATCCAATGACAACCACTTGTACCCAGGATCGAATTTTTTTCAATCATAGTCCACGATTCATGACTTACGTGAGCATCGGGATGAACATAGACTTGAACGCAAGAGGTTGCTCTTCGGACTCAGGATTGTTTTGGTCACAGCGGTACAGGTCAGTTCATGCGGTTGGCGATTCCAATTCGTCAGATCATCTCTCCCTCCCATTTTCCATCACTACTAATGCAATGAATTTCTCCAGCTGTTCCACTGCTTTACCGTTTATCGGCAGAGCGCAATCGAAAAGAGAATATGGAAACACTCAGACAAGTCGCCTACGGCCGCGAACCTCACCAGCGAGCGCTGGAAACATTTTCAGGAGATGCCACCAAAAGAGGGCGAACAGCAACCTTGTCATGTCCACATCTCCTGTGATGATACATTTGTTGCCCTGCCTGCGCATGACTGTCCTACAGATGTACAACGGTAAAAGGAGTAGGGAAGAACGTATTCCTGACCGAAACCAGTGCTACCTCTAAAAGGTGCCTACTCAACGCTATTTACCTGCCATCAACGAGTATAAATGGATGGTCTGTAGCAACAGGCCATATTTCCCATATGTCTGCACATAAACATAGAGCCTGTTGCGTGGAATTCGGTCAATAAAGCACATGTGAATCAGATGAGCGAACTGCTCCAACTGCCAATGCAGTAAAGTATCTGGCGTAAAGCGA